GAAATCTAACACCTGTAAAGGCAAATAACATTCCAGTCCACTGCTACAGAGGAAGCCCAAACACCCCCATCACATTTGATTGCCAACCCAGAGATGGGGAAGAGACAGAGGTTCAGACACAAACGGAAGGGGTGAATAGGGCAACCAGAGGGGCTGGAAGTCACCTCTTGGGCAGGCATGTTCCTGAACCAGAGCCCAACAAAGGCAAGCCAGTTAGACAGCTACCCTCCCTTTCAAAAACAACGGCACTGCTAGAACCCCAACAAGGGTAGAAATTGAAGGGATGACACAATAGAAGCAAGGAAGCAGAGAAAAGCTACACCAAGATGAAATAGAAGTTGTACACAATAACCAGACTTGGCACTCGCAGTGTGATTGCCTGGGGGACACAAATGTGTCTTCAAAGCCAAACAGAATGCAGAGGGAGACATTGAGCAATATATAGTCCGACTAGTTGCCAAAGGCTGTTCCCAGATAGATGGGGAGTATTGTGGTGAGACAGCTGGCCCCATGGCAATGCATTGGAGCAACCTCTTGGATCCAGGAAATCAGGAGACTATGCCAGGAAAATTGAGTTTCGTGAGCATGGAATGAAAAATTGGTTCAGATGCTCATCAAAGAAGGCTTCTAGCAAGGCCAAGCTGACTCCATCTGAACACATGATATAGAAATAATGCCCATAAATAGTAAGATATGTTGATGGTCTGATTCTGAGCTACAAAGATGAAACTGATTGTGAGGAAACTGTAAATAATGCAAACTGAGAAAGGGAAGTGAAGAGACCAGGAGACATCTCTGCTACTTTGGAATTCAAATAGAAAGAGAGGAGGATGAAAGCTGTACCCTCAGCGAAGGATGAAACATCCATGAACTTCTGCTGTGCTTAGGACTCAAAGATGTGAGTGAAGTAGCCACACAAATGAAGATGGACTTTCTAAAGGGAAATGGGCACCGTGAACTCCTGCTGTGGGACAGCCAGTACAGAATGGCCACCACTAGCCAGAGCTGCAGCAGTAGCAATCCTCTGCAGAAGGACCAATTCACCAAGCCAAGGAGATGGGGTTGCTGTGAAAAGAGTAGCCAGGTACTTAAAAGGCATTGCATGTTTGAGACTGAAGCTGCACGCCACTCTCAGACTGGCAACTTACCCGGAAGCAGATTAGGCTGGGGACCCCACAGGTGATAAATTTGCGGGGGGGGGGATTTTTCTTTTGTGGAGGTGGTATAGTTAATGGGTCAACGAGAAACAAAATACAGTGGTGTGCTCATCCACTGAAGCTGAATACATGTCAGCTGCCCAAGCATGCCTGGAGCGCAAGTGGCCAGATCTAAGAAGACCGAGGTGAAGTCCATACAGATTCTGGGAGGTAACCAAAGCCCTGCACACATGGATTCAGTGCCACTTGTTGAGAGAAATCCCAGGGATGGGGCTTGCTGAAACAGAGTGTTGCCTAGCAGGAAGCATGATTGCAGGCATCCTGACAAAGCCACTTGCCAGAGAGAACTTCCAGCGTCTGCGAGGATCCGACAGCTTCTCCAAAATTAAATTTAGCCCTGAGGCTGAAGAAAGTTCCCCAGTGAAGAAGCAGCATCCACTGAATGTAATAAAAGCATTTGCTTGTGCTGCAGACTGGGCCCTTTCCCATTGCTCAAACTGCTGCAGGGTAGACAGTATTTTGGCCCTGAGGAAATGTTGTCGGGCAGCTTGGGGGCTGCACTTGCAAAGGGAGATTCACATGCGCATATGCAGGCGGGTGCACATGCACACAAAATCTCTGGGGTGGAAGAGGGTGCCACCAGGCCTCTCTGCGACCCTGATGAGCACTGCTGCTTTTGTGCCTCCAGAAGCTGTTCAAATTCTCTTTTGCTTTTGGTCCAAATGTGACAGGAGGATAAGGCAATGCTTCCTCCTTCTGGGCAAATCTCAGTCCTGTGTTCCTTAGCATGCTTTGTGAGTGTGCTTGTTATCCGCCTGTAACTTGAGAAAAGCGTTTTGCACTGTGCATTTGTCAGTCGTAAGTGGATGATGTCAAGGGAGATTTGTCTGCACCGGATGGAGGCGGAAGAGAAACCCTGGCAATTTATTTGAGCCTCAGTGTGGGTAAGTCACCTCCAAAGTGACTGAAGCCCTGACAGAGAACATTTCTATGCACGGCAATAGGTGGCCCTGCCAGCAACTTTCAGTTTTCAGTTGTAGGCTTTGAATGTCTAGCCTTTACTCTGAAAAAGTGGAGGGTTCAAATCATGAGCACACAGCCTGAACTAAGCGGCTGCTTATGGTAAAGGAGGAGCCAGTAAATGGCTCAGTGTCCCTGAACTCTATCCACCCCCTCCACCGCCCCCTCCCTCTGCACACATCCACCTTGTGCACAGAACCACGCAGTCATTCACCGGGACACAAATCTTACAGTAATATGGAGAAGCATCTCTTGTTTCTGCCAGAAGAGGGAGCCAAGTCCATGCTGAAATCCATCCTGCTGGAAGTTAGTAAACACCATGAATTGCGAAGGGAGATAGTGCTTATGTGTAAAGTGTGTGCGCGGGGAGAGACATGGGTGTAGGGGGAGAAAAGAACCAGAAATATACCAGCAGCAAAAAAGATGAGGAGAGTGCCGCTCTTTCAGCTGGGAGCCCGAAACATCAGCACCCACAACAGCCACACTGTGGGATAAATGACTTATTCCATGTTGGTAAGTCCACGCCAGAGGGCAAAGACTCATCTTAAACCTTGGCGTCAGCTCCAATTATGCATGCCTTGTTTGTGGGAGTTGGGGGTCATGGCCATAGCTCGGCGGGGGAGTTCTCTCACATTGACTGCCTGTCATTTCTATAGCATGCTTTTTTTACTACAAATCATTGACCTAGCAGAGTTGAAATGCCTATATTCTTTTGTGTGGATATGCTTTAGGTATCTTTAGATAATTCTGCACATGTGTAGTTATGCACGATCATAACGGAAGTGTATATGTCTACTAAATTGTATTGCAAATTGAATACCCCCTGGGTCTTGATGTCTTGCAGGGCTTGTTTGGAGTGCACTTTTAAAGATAATTTCAAAATAACTTATTTGTTGCCTGTGCCTATCTATCATTGGAATAATTCAACACAGTATGGCTATTTGGAAAGGCGAGAAAATGCCAGGAGACCAATGTAGCACTGGAGAGGTTCCCACACGCTCAGAAAGGAGTACATTTTTGTACTTCATCTTGTAATATTTTCCTTTGTGCATGGGAACCAGTGTATCTCGATCTTCTCTAGAGGAATAGGAAAGAGGCTGTGTTCTCCACAGGGGAAGCTTCTTGGATTTTTAAGGGCAGGAAATCGGAGGGGCTCCTTCTGGTCCATCTTGCTCATGCCTGGATTTCCCTTCCCTGTGATTTAGGAAGGGAACCTCACTGTCAGACACTGATGAACAAGGTAATGCAGCTGCCGACTGCTCCAGACAAGAAGAAGCCTGTGCTATCATGGTGCCTGGCTCAGCGAGATGAAGCAAGAACGCAGGGGCTCAGGGATGAGAAGCCAAGGGCAGAGTGCGGGAGACCTTAAAGAAGCTGCTGCCGTACCTGGGCACTCGGAAAGGGAACGGGACGGCGACTAGGACCTAAGCCCCAGGGGTGCAAAGATAATGAGCTATCACTGGAAGACAGATTCTTCTCAGAGAGACACGGAAAAGTCACTTGACAGGAAAGGACTGAAGTGCACTTGGTGATGAGCTCAAGGGTGATATAGTGACTGCTGGCTGGGCAACTACATCGAGGGCCGAAGGAATCTGCATCCAGGACTCCCTCTCTTTCCTCCTTCCAATGAAGACGAAGAGGCCATTGAAGCATCTCCTCGGTCTTTGCCAGAGAACTGGAGATATAATGCTTTTGCTTGGGATGATGCCGTCCTGATGGGCTACTTTACCAGGAGATACAAAGTGAGACGTGGGTGACAAGCAGATGGACAGGACTGACCTGACACACGGGGTCTGCATATGAATCAAAAAGAATGGCAGGAATTAAAGGAGCTGGTCCATCTCCTCAGGACACTAATTTAGAAGAAGCAACCTGACAAGTTAGTTTTGGAGGCTTTTGCTGAAGCAATCATGCCTGCTAGTCCACACATCTGCCTACCATTCATGTCATCAGGAAATTATACTTGATGCAATGCAGCTTGCCTGCTGGGGTTCTGTCTTTTTGCTTTGCTATGCAATTCAAATTCTGAGTAGAGTAGAAAGAAAAATACTCTTCCCTGGACTAGACTAGAGCGTCTTCAAAAGTGAAAAAGGTAGGACTTGGACTTCCTCCTTCTGAAAAAACCTGATCCCTTAGATCTACCCTGAGTGTCTTAAAATGTAAATTTATTTTCTTTGCCTCTAGGACTGTGAATCTTAAACAATGTAGAACAGGGTGAGGAGTTGATTCCTGAGCCTACCAGTAAGGAGAGAATGACATTTTAATTTAATAGAAGAATGATATTGAAAGGGCTGAAAGGGGATTAAAATGTCCTGCCAATTAGAGGGATGGAAAATTAAATCAGAAAGAAAAGCACCTAATGTATTACGCTTCAATAGAGCTGAAGGACTAGTTAAATGGACACTGGACAAACAGAATCAATAGCCTATTTAAGTGAGAATATATGTAAGCTGGAAAGTGATTGTGCTCCTGGTCTGCTGGATTTATTCATGCAGGGCTCCGAGGATTTCTTCTGCTGGCATGTTCCTGTTAGAGTATTCTATTTTAGGATGAAATTCAGACAGGCTTGCTGAAAGAAAAAGCAAGAACCCTCCCACCATGATTGTGATAGTTTCAGATACTTGCTACTGAATGCCTGATGCGTCTTAATGAGATTCCTGAGGATGATGGGATCCCTCCCAAGAGTGAGGAGACTTCAGCCTCAGGGGGCCTGCCTGGCGGTGAGTAATTAATGGACACTTGATGCCTATTTTGTAAGCTCTGCAAGGACACGAGCTGATGTCATCACCAGCCCTGTGATATGATATTGCCTCAGGAGGAACTATGATTTGGAACAACACCACTATGGACGGGGAAGGGTTGCTTGTGAAAAGGGATTCCTGCTTTCGAATCCTCACCGGCTGCTTCCTCTCCTTGCTGATCCTTTCCACCCTCCTGGGCAACACGCTGGTCTGTGCCGCCGTCATCAGATTTCGCCACTTGAGGTCCAAGGTGACCAACTTCTTTGTGATCTCTTTGGCAGTCTCAGACCTTTTAGTAGCAGTCTTGGTCATGCCCTGGAAAGCTGTGGCAGAGATTGCTGGATTCTGGCCTTTTGGATCGTTCTGTAACATCTGGGTGGCATTTGACATCATGTGCTCCACAGCCTCAATCTTAAATCTGTGTGTCATTAGTGTGGACAGATATTGGGCCATCTCCAGCCCATTTAGGTATGAGCGGAAAATGACCCCCAGGGCAGCCTTTGTCATGATCAGTGTGGCATGGACCTTGTCTGTGTTGATTTCCTTCATCCCTGTGCAGCTGAACTGGCACAAGGCTAAAACCACCAGCTTTCTAGACCTCAATGCCAGTTTCCAAGGAGTAGCCTTGGACAATTGTGATTCTAGTCTAAACAGGATGTATGCCATTTCTTCCTCACTCATTAGCTTTTACATCCCAGTAGCCATCATGATAGTCACTTATACGAGGATATACAGGATTGCTCAGAAACAAATCAGACGCATTTCAGCCTTGGAGCGAGCCGCGGTCCACGCTAAGAACTGCCAGACCCCTGCCGGCAATGGAAGCAGTCTGGATTGCCAGCAGCCAGAAAGTTCCTTCAAAATGTCCTTCAAGAGAGAAACGAAAGTCTTAAAGACTTTGTCGGTGATCATGGGGGTCTTTGTATGCTGCTGGTTGCCCTTTTTCATCCTGAACTGCATGGTGCCCTTCTGTGATCCCAGCATTCCATCGAGGGGAGTGGAGCCATTTTGCATTAGTTCTGCCACTTTTGATGTTTTCGTTTGGTTTGGATGGGCCAATTCTTCGCTGAACCCCATCATTTATGCCTTCAATGCAGATTTCCGCAAGGCGTTTTCCACTCTCCTGGGATGCTACAGACTCTGTCCTGCTTCCATTAATGCTATAGAGACAGTCAGTATTAACAACAATGGGGGCATAGCCTTTTCCAGTCAGCTTGAGCCCAGAGGGTCCAGCCCCAAAGAGTGCAACTTGGTCTATCTGATCCCCCATTCTGTGATTTGCCCAGAAGAGGATGACATTGTGAAAAATGAAGAGGAGGGGGAACTGTGTAAAACACTGGAGAAAATGTCTCCAGCTCTATCAGGTATCTTGGATTTTGAGGGTGAAGTATCTTTGGAGAAGATCCGCCCCATCACGCAAAATGGACAACATAAAACCTGAGGTGTAAAGTCAGCCCATCAAAATGTAAAGGTACCAGAAAGGTTTTCTAGGTGTGTGTGCATGCGTGCGTGCGTGTGCTTTAATATAAGAAAATGTGCTATTGTGAGAGTTAAAGCCATCACTCAAAAGCCTGGGACTCAAGTAGCTGTTGCTTGACAGGAGCATACCATTCAAAACAAAGAATTTAAATGTACTTACATTGTATTTAGAGGTTGTTCTGTGTTGTTCATCTTGAATGGAAATGAGTCTAAGATGTAGATACAGTGCAGCCGGAAGGAAAAGCAAAACAAAAAAGAGCTTGGTAAATGTCTGCCGAAACCAAACTGGGGGAAGCAAATCAACTTTACTATATGAATTAAATGTATTAAACTAAATATGAGGTTCCCATTTGCTGTGCATAGTTGTCCATGGGTGTTTACAGGTTGCAAGTAGTTTGGTGAATTGCCAGCCTAGGGTGGATGCCTTTATGAATGATTGCTGAACATCAAAGAGCCTTATAGTAAGAGTGGAATATTTTCAATAGTTGGAAGACAGTATGTCCATACTGGTTTTATTTATTTATTTGTTTGTTTGTTTATTTATTGTTTAAATGGCTATTTTTTCAAATGTTTTGATAAATCTAGCTTTATTTGTCTTATTTTAGTATATGTCCAAGTAATGGGAAATTTCTGGGCTCTCACTCACTGCATTTTGGAACAGTTTACTAGTCAGCACTTTATTTTAAGAAAGGAACGTTTTCTAAGTTAGCTCGGCCTGGGTGAGTGTGGACGTTGTAGCTGTTCAAAACAACAAAATAGGGTGAATCACCAATATCGTGTGGCAGGAGCAAGGTGTTTTGTGGATTCTCCTGTCACCCCACTCGTCCCACCCCAAACGTAGGACCAGAGCTGACTCCATAACAAGATGCAAGAGCTGCGCCCTGCAGCAAGGGTGCTCCTGAAGTTTCGTCTTAGGTTGACTTTTCTTTGAATGTCACCAGGTGAAACTGTACATAGTATATCTTAAATAGGAATACAACTTTAAATATATATGGATTTAGGAAGAGAAACCCCTTCAACAGATCAACAGCAGCATTTGCCATTTTGTAAGATAAAATACCCCCTCAGACTTCTCCTCCTTCACATTTTGGTTTGTTCTGGGAGATGGGTATGATGGGGTGGAGGAGAAACTTGCCCTTCCTCGTTTTTAAGACAATGGGTGATAGCTCTATGAAGAAACATTATCCATTATAAGAGAACAGAGCCTCAGTTTTCAGAGGCAGTATACCTCTAAATTTCAGATGCTGGATATTAAAATCATGGAGGAGGGTTATCATGTGTCTGCCCTGTTTGTGCATTTCCCAGGGGGTTCTGGTTGGCCACAGCAGAAAACAGGATTCTGGACTGGGGAACTCCAGTCCAGCCTGGCAAAATCTTCTGCATTCTTTTGAAATTGGATGATTTTTAAAAAATCCAGAAACAAATGCTGATGCTGTATGACTGTCTCAAACTGTATTGTTTTCCCTTTGGATTTGCTGCTCATTGCATAGAAAATAGTGCCTCATTCTTATTCTGGATTCCCACATAGTGAATGGAGCAGCAAAAACCAAGACTTGATTTACTTTTTGCTTTCTTGGATGCAAAAGTATTTTACCAAGTGAAGCTAGTAGGAATTTTGGATTGCTATTTATCTCAACAGTCACCAGCATTAATATTCAAAGACATTCCAAGTTAATTATTTGGTTTTTTTTTTCTGAAGGGGAGGAGGGTGCTAGCAACCCCCCCACAAACTTTGTAAGAAGCAGAGAATTCTTTAAGAAGTGTAGTCAGAAAAAGAGAACTGGGAGAGATAAGTTAGAAGCATAATGAAAATATACATCCTGAATCAGGTCAGTGTTATTTAAGTATTGTGAATGTTTTCATAATTCTATTGCCTGTAAGCTGCTTTCATAAATATAATAAAATTATTTTGTGAACATAAACTGAAATAAAGGAATTTACATTATATTTATTAAAAAATCCTATTTTAATTTGTCATATTGTTTTTAATAACCATGATCATTTCTCTCCAGTGTTTGTTTTGTGGGGCTTTGTAACATTTTGGCATAACAACTATTGTGACATTTGACATCAACCAATAATGTGTTCCGTTAAATGCCTGTGTGGCAGCCCTTTAAACCTGACCTCAGATTGGACGGATTGCTGTCCTTGTTGCAGGAGTACAAAAGGAGGGCTGCCTGCTTTCCGTGCAAAAGGTCCAAGCTGCAGTCCCCACTGTTTCCCGGCAAGGCTGGGAAAGACTCCTGTTGGAATGGCTGCTGGCCTCAGCAGAGGCAATGCTGGGTCAGTTCGACCAGTGGTCAGACTCAGCACAAGGCAGACCGAGTCTCATTTTTGAGAGTATTGCACCCTTTCGCTCTTACATAGAGATCCGTTTGTGATCCAGAAACCATTTGCTTTGGTATTTGTATCTATAACACTACAGATGGGATGACACACTTAATTTTGGTTGTTAAATTTGCACATGTCTTTCTGCCAGTGTATTTAGCAAATAACGGCTATTGACATATTTCATGACAGAATCATGGCTGCATCACATTTAGTGAATTCTGTTCTGGAAAATAATTCAGGTCCTATAGATTTATTTATTTTATTTTTATTTATTTGGGGTATTTGTAAGCCATCCAATTACACTGAGTCTTTGGATGGCTCACAAATCCATGTTGTGATACATTTGCAGGGTTGGTTTGGGAGGGCTCTTATACATTTTCTAGAATCCTAGCGAAACATTGTATTTCTCTCTCTCTCTGAAGATAGTGGAACAGTTTAGAAAGGCCACAGTTTAGGGAGGCTCCAGAGTACTGGAAATCAGGTCCTGTTCTCTCCAGGTCTCTGGCTGGAGAGTCATAACCACAGAAAACACTTTTAAAAAGTTCCTCTGCCTCATTGTTTTCACCTCTCTACTTCCGGCCTGGTATCTTTCTCCCCAAGTCTCCCAAATGACGCCTGTGCCCTCTGTAACACTTCAGGGGTGCTTCAAGTAGGCATACTTACGATGTACAGTATACAGTGGTACCTTGGCTCATGAACTTAATCCATTCCACGACTCTGGTCATGACCCAAATTGGCCAAGTCAAATTTCAAATCCAAATTGGCCAAGTCAAATTTCCCCATAAGCTTCAGTGTAAATGAGGTTAATCCATTTTGTAACTATTTATTTTTAATCACAAAAACCTGAAGCAAAGTGACAAAGCACAACAAAGATCGCGGCCATCTCCCCCGTCCCCTTAGCACGATCGCGGCCATCTCTCCCCCTGAGCATGACTGCGATTGCGCCTGTGCAGGGAAGGCGGATACAATCGCGATTGTCACCTGATGCAGAGTTCACGACCTGAGGCAAAATTTTCATGAAATTTCTGTTTGCGATCCAATTTGGTTGTGAACTGAGGTGTTCGTGAGCCGAGGTACCACTGTATTCATTTAAATTCAAGGTCGCAGTGGCCACCCACCGTGGGGAACTTTTGGGTTTCTGCCTGCAGTGCAGATACATTTTGTTCTCTCTCTCTCTCTTGATTTCTTTCTCTTTCTTACAACCCTAAAAAATCCTGGTAAATGTGCACAACGCATATTAAGGTCTTTCACGCATGGGCATCGATATACAAAATTATATTTGCTTTTACTCAGCTTGTCAAAATCCAGGCATTGTGAGCAGAGGTGGGCAGCATCACACCCACTTCCCCTGCTCTAGAGAACAGGATGCTCATGTATCTTTTCTACATGTACTCTCCTCATGTACACGTTGCATGAATGCTGGGCCCCCGGTCAGACTGAGAGAGCCTGTTCATGTGCTCCAGAAGAGAAGAGCAATGCGGGATCAGAACACACGCCCTAGAACACGCAGTCTAGCATCCTGTCCCCAAAGTGGCAAAGCCTAAGGAAAACCCACAAGCAGGACCTAAGGGCTGTAGCTCCTTCTGCTCATGTTCCACAGCAGCTGCCACAGTAGCCTTTGATTGCCTCCTCCTCCATGAATTTGCCTAATCCCGCTTTAAAGCCATCCAAACCAGTGACCATTGCTGCCCCTCATGAAAGCAAATTCCATTTGCTGTGTAAAGAAATGCTTCTTTTATTTGTCCCAAATCTCCTTCCATTCAACTTCTCTGGATTCTAGTATTATGAGAGAAGAAAAGCATCTCCCCGTCTACTTTCTCTCTATAATTGTGTAAAACTCTGTCCCATACCGCCCATGAACTTGCCTCTTTTGTGCTTGTTTGTATATAGGGTACTGCTCACAAAGGATTCGTAAGGGCAGGGGCTTTGGGCAGGGGAGAGTGGGAGCAATCTCCGCACTCCTTCTTTGCAATCTGTATCGCTCAATTTCAGCAGGGTGGGCAGGCGCTTTTATTACCTTCCATAATACAAACAAGTGTGAAAAAGCCCAACTCTTTCAATTAGATTGCAGTGTTCTCCGTGACATTTTCTGACAGCCTTTTCTGTGCTAAGCATTGTGGTGTAATTAATATCCTACGGAAACTTAATAACAGCTTCCACATTATTTTCTTCCTGATAATTTCAGGAAGTTAAACATATTAATCAAATCTCTCTTTGCAGGGGCCTTGTGCAAATGTCTACCCCCTTGATGCCTTTTTAAGGTAATCCATAACTCCACTCAAATAATAATTCTTTACATGATCAGAGTCGTGGGCTGCTGTGAAAAGAAAGCAGTCCTTGGTTCTTCTGTGCCCACGGAGAGGAAAAGCAAAGTGCAACACAAACTTACAAAGCTGTATTGTTTGTGGACTGCATTTTTGTCCTATGCTTCCTGCAAGTATGTGTGGCTCTCCCCTCCTATTTTAAACTCAGAACAGCCCTGGAAGTTACGTCAGGCTGAGAGAACATGGCTGGCCTACGGTAATCCTGCAGACTTCATGGCTGATTGCAGATTTGAGTCACCCCCCACCGCCCCCACAGTCCAAGTCTCACCACAACAGCACCCTGACCTTGATTTGAACAGAAAGCAGGCCACTCCTAGCAGGCGACATTATTACGGAGGTTTTAAATGCCAGGGTAGGAGGAGGAACCGTTGTTCCTGTCTTGTCTAGTGGGGATAACTGGGACGATGCAGCATGCAGTCGCCTTCTGCACAGATTCAAAAGGGATCCGCAATCAGTCATGGTCCTACTGTGTAACGTGTG